TTATACAACTTCATAAAACAGAATTTTTGTGTATTCAAACATTTTTTTATTATCTATGATTTGCAATGTGTCTACTTTGTGATTTGTGAACATATATAGTAATTGTTTTATCATATGTCTTATCTTTCACAAGTTTTTTTTAGAAGGTAACCCAATGGCTGTTTTTTCTGGATTTGACGATTTTTTTTATAATTCAAACTAGTGATTTGGACGATACATGTATATTTACATGTAATACTGGACTGCTTGATATCAAGCTGCATTCAAAGTATGACTGGGCGTGGAACTTAGATCCACAACGGCTTCATACACATTTTGAAAGATTACATTTTGGAAGATGCTTTCGGCTCGACACCCGACAGCAGACTATCATGTTTTAAATACTTAGCTAAAGCTTAAATTGCGGAAATCTTACGAGAAGGATTGTTCAAGTATAAAAAACACTGAATTAGTCAAAACGCGCTAGAGTTATCAAATTTCAAAACGATTTGGGGATATAGGTAAACGTGATCTCATCAAGTATAATCTTTCAAACGATAGAATTTACCAGAACTTTATTGATCCAACGTACTACTAAAATATAGAATTGATGCGCAACAATATATATACCTCCTATATCAGCAATATAGGTCCCAAAGATTTACCCATTCAATTTATAATCAACAAATTTTTACGCTTTACTTACATTAGAAAATTAATCTATTGTCGAAAGTATACATTTTAACATATAAATTGAAGTCAAAACAAAATTATGCATAATATTTTTGTATAATTGCTGTCGTGTAATCGCACACACACACACACACACACACACACACACACACACACACACACATATATATATATATATATATATATATATATATATATTTATTAGAAATTTTTTAAGGTAATAAATGAAGATGAATTAATCAGAGAAATGAATAAAACATAATAACTTGGAATGAATCCGAGCAGAACGCTCCACAAATTTACTCCAGTATTAAGCTCTACTAACCGTAGCCGTAGAAGTCATTCTTAATTAGGCAGCGAATTGATTCATAGCTACTTATGGTTTAAAATAATCGATGCGTAAAAGCAGTTACTATTTAAATATGTAAATACGGCAATTTATCCCAACTTATTTAGCAAATATAACATGGCAGTAAACGTAGGGTAGAGCGGGGCTAGTTGAGCATAGGGGCAAGTTGAGCAATCGAAATATCTCGAAAACTATTTACCGTCCGTTAAGGCATTATATGGCAGAAAGATAGAGGTTTGGGAGAAATAAACAACCCGCGATCGCTAGTGGTCGCTGGACAAATGAGTGAGGCTCACGGGCGTTATGTTTATTTTGAGACCAAAAAATAAAAAACTTATTCATCACGAGTTTTCGTCTGGTTTAGTCAAATGTTATGTATTTTTAATCAGGTAAATGTTATTATTCCATGTAATTATAGTACTTTTAATATGCACAGAGATTCTGGGTATAATTCTCACGTTTTTTTTATAAACTTACTTTTATTTTAAAATTCCGAGTTGGGGTTAGTTGAGCATAGTTGCTAAACTTGTTCTCTCACTAAGACAACTACCATTTACTTCCAGAAATTAACTATTGTTTTTAAGATTTAAGCTAAGTCTATGAGTAATAATATAAAAAAATAATGATTTTAAACAAAAATACTGAATATAATGATAAAATAATTCCTAAGATACGATATTGTTTTGTTGATTCTACTTTTCGTTAATTATTCAAAGCAAATTACTATAAGTTTGGTTTTCTCTGTCAATAAAGACTATAAATATAGAACTGGTTAGTAAAAACTTATTTTATTTCATCACTAATCGACATTGAACCTATAATTTCATTAGTGCTCCCACTATACTTTCTTAGTGCTCCCACAACTTGCCCCGCCTATGGGGTACATTGAGCATACTTGAATTTTTGCATTTAAACAGCTGTAGCTTTTAAATTGTACTTATTACCAAAAAATAGTATTAACACTTTTGTTAAGCAACAAATTTGATAAACAACAAATCCATTAAGCCGTATAGCAATTATTGAGACTTTTCATTGAGGAGCTACATCCGTTTAAGTAAAAATTTGCTCAACTAGCCCCGCCCTACCCTATATATGTACAGTATTATAAAATGGTCCCCCGTAAGTTAAAGTTGGAGACATTTGTTTTTCTTTTATCAGAGTGTTATATGAACTCAAATATGGCGAAGAATAACTAAATATCGTTAGACGCGATAACTAACCGCTATCTCCAAAACCTGAATGATAACCTGAACACATATTTCTCTACCCGGTAGCCATTACCCTTAATTACAAGTGGAGGTTAGTAGCTATACGAATGAAACAAGATTAACTTTATTACTACATCCTATTTAATAAATATGAATCACTCATTTGTATTGAATAACTTTTCAGTGTAATTTAAGGAGACCATATGTTTCTAAAGTCAAACACCTGGAGGGCAATTTTTAGTTAAGCTAATCTGGACCGGGGGCGGTGTATTTAAACTAACAAATGATATTTGAGGATATAATAAAAAACAGTTTTTTTTATTGTAAGAACTTCATTATTCGATTATATGTAATTTTTTTTTCTATGATATTACATTACTTTTTATATTTTTCGATCCTTGTTTTTTACGTTTTCGAGCCTTGTATAAAATTCTATATAATTTTCTTCATAATTAATTTGAAAAAAAAATTTTTTTTCTTCTTTGTTTTTATAATTAATGTTTTTTTTAACTATTAATTTTTGAAAAGCCGGGACAATCCAGGACAAAAGATTTAAATCCGGGACAAATATTGCTTTTAGAAAAACCAGGAACACAAGGTGAAATTTGGCATATGAAATCCATACGGACTATTTTTTAAATAAAAATGTATTATAGTTAAATTTGCATCCGCCCACACACACGCTTATATAATATTTTATGCCAAAAAGCTCAGAAACCTTTGAAAATTTTCATTTTCAACTTTTTTGCGATTACTTCATAATACCAACAATAATATTATTAATAATAATGACAATAGTAATTATAATAATATTAATAATATTTACATGAATAATAATGATAATAGTGGTAACTATATTAATCATTAAAATAATAATAATAATAACCTAAATCAAGTTTAAAATTAATCCAGCTCATGCACCTAACGCTGGGAAAGCACTCCATTATTATTGTTGATAATTTTATTATCATCATCGTGCCGAAAAATGGCTATGACTAATAATAATGGAAGATCTATCTCCACACATATTGCACAACAAATTAAATAAGAATGATTCAATTAGATGTGTAACAAATAATTTATGCATACATGCAAATTCATTCTTGCATGAATCAACTATTATCAACAAATAAAAGTTTCGCATAACAGATTCAGAATAACGCATAACCGTAAGTGGTTTATTTGATACTTTTATATGAGAAAACAATAATGAGATAAAATGAATAAAATTTTCATTTCTTTTATTAAAGGTTTGATTTATAATTGACATGTTAACAAGAAATTGTAAAACAACCACAAGCGGCGTGATGTGAATGAAGTTTATAGTTTATGATCTACATCTAGTAAAATCCTGCATGAAATTTAGATTTACATTCGATCTGAAGAATTTATGTTATCATTAACTTAATGATAATGTAATGGATAATGTAATGAGAGTAGTTCTATATTTCATATTTTGTGTTTATGAACGTACATTGAAAAATAAAAAAATTGATTCGTAAGGCTATAAGTATCGTATATAACTCAAGGGGTTATTCTAGTGTAGAAATTCAGAAAAATCGATTTTTTTTATTTCATATTTTCAAAGTTTAACTATCTAATAATATGAGTAGGAGAAGGTTTTTGAAAATTTGAATTATTTCCGGAGATACAGGCATTTTACTGACTCGGTCTCCAAACTGGTTTGGCAGGGTCTAATTGGACAAAAGGCATTAGGAAGTCATTAAAACAATTTAAGACAGTTTATCGTCGGATGAATTATTAATTCGATGTATAGTAATCTCTAAACTCGTTGATTTGGATTTTCGCGCCGAAACATATTCATTCCCGATCTCGGGTATTTGAAAAGCAACAATTATTGCTGTTTGCATATTCAATGAAGGTTTCTTTCCGATTTTAAAAATGATGACCCTTATGGGCCAGAAACTCATTCATTCGCTGTAAGACGAGACAATTCCCGGATTGAACCATCTGAAATACGTACATCCAACTCTTCAAAGGAGGCTAGAACTGCTCGATTGGAAGAGAGAAATGCAGAAAATAGTTTTTTTTTAAGTAGAAGAAGGTCCGTTGCATGGAGCAGGAATTGCAGATTAAATAAAAGAAGTATAACATATCATTTTATGACTTTGACAGCAAAAAACTTCACGCAAAACTTTAAATGCGTTTTTCTCAGAACAGACTTTTTCAGTACTGTTGACACGATTCCTAAAGTTCTAATCGACCGATTCACTTGAAATGTTCAGAGAGTCTTGTTTATAGACCTATCTATAGCCCGAACTAGCATCATCTCCAAATTACAATTTTTACTAAAATTATAATATTCGAGAAACTCAAAAAAAAAACAGCAAAAAGAGACACTTTTTTTCAAACAGTCGCCAATTTGTAAAATAAAATATTTTTTACTCATCGCTAGTTCGGGCGATTGAGACATCATTGTAGATTAATAATCTTTTTATTTCTTTTATTTCGGATGGCTAGGAGGGTTGAAATCATGTCAAGACTCATGTGCCAATTTTTTAAGACCTCCCACTTCATCAGCTGCCAGTTTATGCAATTTTCAACTTTATTTTTTAATTTTTGTATTGTATTTTAATAATATTAATAAACAAGTGGTAAAAATGTATAGTAAAAACATTCATTGCTTTCTTTTACGACACTTTAAAAATGACCTAAAACTCATCGCTCCATACTAGAATACTCCCTTAACAACACATTTTTTTAAATATGCTGGCTTATATTCAGCTCATGAAAATTTAAAAATTCTATATTGGCAACACTAACATTTTTATTGTTAATTCACTTTATACATTCGTTCGAATAAAGTAAATAAATAAATAAAACAAAATATTTGCATGAATCACAAAGGATTTATTATACTAAAATCTAAACTATATTTTTGGTGGAACATTTGTTCATATAAGGAAATTAAAGACCAGTTTTTTTGCGAATGAACTCTCTAATGCTAGAAGCAGCAACTTTAGCGTATACTCCTGGCATGTTTGGTCTGGCACAACCATTTCCCCAAGAGACGACTCCGACCAGATTTTTGTTTTCGTCCACAAGTGGACCACCGCTGTCACCCTGGCAGGAGTCCTTGCCACCTCTTCTAACTCCGGCACACAACATGCTAGAAATGGAAATAAAATGAGCGATTTGGTTTTACAATATGTGATGAATATCTAACTGTTATTAATTTTAGTATAAATATAAATTTTCCACAGCTTACTTTTCGGTGATATCTTTTCCTGCAAAGACGTAGCTGTCAGAGCATGTATCTTGGTCCACATAAGGCACTTTTACTCCTTGTAGATTTACTGGCTTGGGTCCTGATTCCTGCAATGCCCATTAGTAATGTAGTGATTTTAACTTATATTGTTTTCAGTGGTAACAGCAAAATACCAAATCGAAAAATTAATTGTATTTTCTCAACTTACACTTAATTTGCCCCATCCAGTGACGGTGAGCCGGGCACCATCATCAACCTCGTGATCTTCGTCAACCAATTTAACTTTGCGAACGCTCCTGCCGTTTAGTTTAAATTTGGTTTCAACTTTCAGGAGTGCGACGTCATTGTCGTAGCTGACCGTGTCGTAGTCTGGGTGAATGTGTACCCTGGAAATTCTGTGAAGGACTCCACCTTTGTTGCGTAAACTGCTTCCGACACGCACTCCATATTGCTTTGGCGAGAAATAACTGTTCCAAAAAGTAGATGATCAGTTTTGTTAATAAGGGGCAAGACATTTCAACATGTTTATATAGAAAATTTACTCGTATACGCAATGTGCAGCAGTCAAGACCCATTCGTCGCTGATTATAGAACCACCGCAAAAGTGACCCTTACGATCGAATAAGGACACTTGCCATCCGAAGTTCTCAATTTTAACACTGGTGCCGCCGACGATGCGGTCGACGACCGAATCTAAAATGAGAAATGAAAAAATATACAAGTTTGTTGGAAAAATATAATTGTAATGTTTAATGTAATAAATGTTTGGGGTTTCTCTTTGTAACAATTTGTGTAAAAACAACAAGTTTGGAAACTGATAGGGCTGAATTGAAAAGTTTATTACGGATGTAAAGTGATGAGATAAATTAAATTTAAATATATAAATTAACTTTGATCATTTTGGATTTACTTAAGCCATTAATTCAAAAAATGAATATAGATCAAATTTAATTTTATAAATCACTGATGAAACAATTTGCTTATTAAATACGATTGTTTTTCTATTATTGAAGTTAACTTCTAAGCAATTACTTGCTCATTGTTTTTTCTGCTGAAAACAAATTAATAGATTAGAATTTATTGTGGACATATAAAAATGTTTATAATATTTATATTCTAAAAGTATAACTTTACTCACCTTCACCCAAGGCTGCCGCCACAAGGAAAACAACGATGAATCCACACTTCAGCATTTTGTGAAACCAACTTATTTACTGGCGATTGTTTTCTGAAAATTCCGCTATTTATTTAATGAACATAAAATAAAAATGCTTTTTGATAATTCCGCGTACTTGAGAATTGATTGTTTTCTTGATAATTAATAAGTGCTCTTACTGGTTTGAGATTGGGTTTTCAAGCATTTCCAAATACTGTGTTTTCAAGTAGACTATCTGTATTGAACTTTGAATTTTTTATACTAAAATAGAAATCACATTCTGAATTGTAATGGGCGAGCAATTAAAAATAAATCTATATAGGGGAGCTAGGGGCTATCTGTAACTGGTATAACTTACAGGCGTTTTTTAATAAAATCTTAAACCATATTAAATCATTTTTTGTTTCGATTGGACATTTAAACGGTTCTGCATAATATTGCCATAGCTACTATCCCGCAGGCTAACGCAATAAACAGAACTGTGCAGGTCTGTCATTTTTGACAGGTACAGTTTGCCTGAAGAAACAAACTTATTTATAAGTATTTTGTGATAAATATATATTTTTTAGATCTTGAATTACTATACAGGGCAACTTTATTTTCAAGTATATCCCATTTTGATTTTATTCTACAAAAAACATTCCTTGATAAACGCTTTGGTATTTTTTTATTAATTACATTTAATAAAATTGATATATTTAATCGTCTCGTTTTGACGATCACTTAAGTTATCCTTTATTGGATACTAAAATATCACTACCATTATTATAATTCAAATAAAATAGTATTTAAAATACAATTCATATTTAAATTAATAGAATATTATAGTGAGAGTATAATTCTATTCAATATGTTACTATGATAAGGAAATGTTACCATGCTTTTCTCTTTATTTTTATATGCAATTCAATCTGTCTATTTCAACAGGATTCGAGTTTTACATATTGCAAATTAGTATTTTTGACTCCTTATAACTTTTAACAGTAATGCCACGAAAATTGTTACTTGAAAACATATATCTGTTGTATATTATTATCAAGTAAACGCAACGCAGGATTTTAAATCGAAATCTTGTGGTAGCAAGGTTAAAATTTTTACCACTGGATCAAGAACACCTTTAATTTTCCTTTGCATTTTTCAAAATAAAATATAGAAATACATTTTGTGCTTTATTTTCAGCAATACAAGTACAAAGTTCTAAATATTCACGCATATGATTAATAAGCAAGCAAAGTTCAAGATATGGTATAATATTTACACAGTCTTAAAATCAAGTTACTGTCTAATTAACGTCAATCTAATTATAAGATTATTATGAATGCGTAATTAAATTATTTGTAATTCTGGTAATAAAATAGTTCAAGTGTTACGTACTTGAACGTACTTGATTAATAATTCTACTTGGTTAATAATTGTATAAAACCTTCACAACCTTACTAATGGATTGAATTTGGCACTTGAGATGGAATTAATCTTGAAAGATAATATTACTATTATATACTTTGAAAGTTGAACTATGAGATCTTGAAAACATTTTAAACTAGTGGGGTGCATGGCATCGTGCCTTAAGGCAACGATTAACTTTAACTTCAGTATTTTTGGTTGTTCAGAAAATTTATTCGACTTCTAATTCAGTTTATTGGACTACGATATTATCCACTCTTTCCATTACAGTTTTTTGTAACTCTTTTTAATTCTCTTATACAAGCTGCACGGAGGATACTATTTGTAGTTCAAGGGTTGAGGGGTTCCAACTAAAGAATACAAGGCGTTCAATTGTAATCCATTGCGATTTGATGGTTTTAATTTATTTGTCAATATATAATAGTTTCATCATAGCTAGCTTAAATAAATACTATCGTATGTGAGTTCATTTATTAATTATTATTTTTTTTTAATTTATTAATTATTTTTTCGAATAAGACTGTAATTTGAAATTTATTTTTTCGGGCTGAGCTTCTCAACATTGTTTAACCATACCAAAGCCCTTGAATTTCGCTTTACTTCAAAGTTTCATAAATTGTGATGTGAAAACTTTTGCATAGATTTTGTTTTTTTTTTCGTTGTTTTTTTATAAGTTTGAAAGTTTGTTTGATAGAGTCAGAAACAATTTAAAATTTAATTGGGTAAAGGAGCGCTTTAGAGAAATCAGATTCGTTGGTCCAGTAAATTTACTTTCAGTAAATAGTTGTTGAAGTTTGTTAAAGGCTTTCTTTATATAAGTGAATACTTATTTAGTCTAGAGAATTTTGCATCGCATAATTTTTGCTTGATGTTATTATTTGAATGACAATCGACTACTAGTTAATTTCAAGTTTTTGTGTTTTTGTAATTTTGTTTTAAATTTTGGGTATTTTTTACCAAAAATGCAATACTTATTTTTATATACATACTGTAGATACTAATATAAATCATTTTAGATCCATACTTTTTAAAAATATATATTGCTGCATGATTTTTTTTAAAGTGTTTATTTCTAAAGAAGTCTGCAAAAGAATTTACTACTTGGACTAGAATAGATAACTAACCTAGTTTTTGAATAAATAAGACAATAAAATTGCATAAATCAAATAATTTTATTTTTTTTTTCTTTACATTTGATTACATAATACAAGATTAAACGCCAGTTTTTTTGCGAATGAATTCTCTAATTCCTGATGCGGCAACTTTGGCATATACACCTGGTTTGTTTGGTCTGGCACAACCATTTCCCCAAGAGACGACTCCGACAAGCTTTTTGTTTGCGTCCACGAGTGGACCACCGCTGTCACCTTGGCAGGAGTCCTTGCCACCTTTTTTGACTCCAGCGCACAACATGCTAGAAACAAAAATATTTTAAGTGATTCGTTTTTATAGAAATTGATTTTATATTGACAGCTATTGGTATTAGGTATTAGTGCTGATTAGAGTTTATGCACAGCTTACTTGTCGGTGATTTGTTTTCCGGTAAAGACGTAGCTGTCGGAGCATGTATCATGGTCGACAAAAGGCACTTTCACTCCTTGTAATTTTACTGGGTTGGGGCCTGATTCCTGTAATATTCAATAGAAAATTAATGACTTAATTCTGCATTGTTTTTAGGGAAATTAGTGAATCAATAATGAACCAGAGAACTAAATTGTAAAAAGTTGTTTTTTTTTTAATTTTTTGATCCTCTCTCTTAACTCCTCACTGCAAACTTACACTTAATTTGCCCCATCCAGTGACAGTAAGCTGGGCACCATCATCAACCTCGTGATCTTCGTCAACCAATTTAACTGTGCGAACGCTCTTGCCGTTCAGTCTAAATCTCTTTTCAACTTTCAGGACTGCGACGTCATTGTCGTAGCTTACTTCATCGTAGTCTGGATGGATATATACTTTGGCAATTTTGTGGATAAATCCACCTTTGTTATGTAAACTACTTCCGACACGCACTGCATATTGCTTTGGCGAGAATAGGCTATTGCAAAAAATTGAGAATCGATTTTAATAATGAAAAAGGAGACATTTGAATAGGTTGTTATATGTAATTTACTCAAATACGCAATGTGCTGCTGTCAAGACCCATTCGTCGCTAATGATGGAACCACCGCAGAAGTGTCCCATACGATCGAACAAGGACACTTGCCATCCGAAGTTCTCGATATTAACACTGCTGCCGCCTACGATGCGGTCGTCGAGCGAAACTGGAAAAAGGCATCTCATTAATTATAAAAGTAAATCTGTCGACAAATTCAAAGCTTCAAATCAGACATTTAATCAATTACTGTTAACAATAATATCACTTGTATGAATAGTTAGAATTTCACTAAGTCTTTAAAGAAAATATTAGAAATTAATATGGGAATAAAAATATTTAACTTTACTTAAATCTAGACTGAACCTATTCTACTTAATATTTTAAAATTATTATTTCAACTTTACTATTATCACTTACACTCGCCCAAGGCGGAGGCTACAAGGAAAACAACGATAAATCCACACTTCAGCATTTTGCGCAATCAACTCTTTGACTGACAATTGTGTCCTGAAAATTCCACTATTTATTTCATGATTTGATATTAAAAATGCTTTTTGATTGAACTTCATAATTGGTAATTGACATTTTCATGATAACTCAATGAGTTCGGCTTTTCAAACACTTTCAGATAACATTTAATTCAAGCGTTTTCGAATGAAATAAATTGAACTTTGAATTGAAATTGAATACTTATTAGAGAAAATAAATTTTACAACGAGCGAGATAAATTATTGAGGCAATTATTATTGGTATTTCTTGTCAATACCCATAATGAATAGAAGGCCTGAAACTCTTAGTTGACTTCTCCAAAAAATAACAATTAAAAAAATCAGTAAATTATCAAAACATAATAATTGATAACTAAATCACTTAATTCAGTTATATTAATTGCAATATTTTCATTATGGTTTTTAATAATATTGATTTAAACAATACTTACCGTGGGTAGAGGCACTATCTCAATTATCATATAGAATCCTAACAGGACCTAAAATAATAGACTGCTGCTAGTTATTCCATCGTTGTCTTTCATTTCGGATACAAACTCATAATTCGTTAAATTTGTTTGGTAAAATCATAATAAAGTTGTATCAGTTTTCTTATGGAAATTAAAAACATATATAACGTGCATACTCAACATTCTCATCGTAGGATTTTAGTGATTGATATTATATGGTTGGAGTATAAGAAGTGAATAACATAGAATGCATAAAAAAATAAAATCGAATTCAAAAAACTAGAAGTACAATTTCATATGTATTGTGAGACTTTCATTAATTCTACAGATACGTGTTATCCACCCAGTAATAAGAAGTTGTCAATTCATAGTCTATGCTTGTGAAACAAAAAATCATTCTAATATCTTTTTTGGTCATTTTTATTATTAACCTCCCGTATGGTAAGTTATAGTAATCGCACAAAAATCAAAAATAAAAATTTTTATGTGTCGTTATGTTTCAAAGGTTTCTAAACATTTTGGCATACCTTAGAAAAAATGGATGTATGTGTGTGCGTGTGTGTGTGTGCGGATACAAATTTTTGTCGACGATTTCGGTAACACGGATCAACCGATTTGGATAATTAAAAAAACATTCGATTTGTATTGATAAGGAGACGTGCTGGTTAGTTTTTGGCAAAGGCAAGTTTGGCTGTTCCGAAGATACGGAGCAAAAAAAGCCAAAAATGGTAATTCAGTTTTTGAGAGAGCGTAGGATCCGATTTGAATAATTCAAAAAACATTTTATTTGTATTAACGAAATGAACAACTGACAAAATTTTTGGGAAGGCGGTTACGAAGATTTCATTTGGTGGTCAAAAATGATCATTAGACATGCCTATCAGATATTTTATTATCAGATATTTTATAGATATTTTAATAATAAGAACAAATTTTGTTTACATTTCTATGGGTTCCGTACTAATGCTTATTCGTTAGACTGCAACGCGGCGCTCTCGCGCTAAGGAATCGCGATTGCTTTGAAAAGAGTTCAACTTTTTTAAAATTTTCAATTTATAAAAAGAATTCAAATATTAAAAAAAAAAATTCAAAAATTTTTAAATTCTAAATTTTAGGTTCTAAAAAGAATTGAATTTGAATTGAAAAGAATCTTCTTTAAAAAAAATGATACGGGAAGATCCAGCAATTTGCTTTGAGGCACGATGCCATCCACCATTTTACATTTTACAATGCTGGTTCCGGATGATAATAAAGGTTAATTTGATTTGGGGTGCTCCTGTTGAGTCTGATGGCATAGTTAAACAAGTATTCACGGATGGTATGGTATATAGAGATTCGTTCAATAGGACTCTAAGAGTCTATGTTTGAGTTGTTTGTTGCTATCATTGCAGACATATAGATTAGCACCATGTTATTGTACGACATTTTAGATATTCTCCTAGATATTTTTTTAAACTTACGAGATTTTTTTTCGAAGTTCTTTGTCTATAGTTCTCAAAGATGAAACAAATTTATAAAACATTTATAAATGAATACTCGAGTGAGACATGCTCTTACGATACAATTTTACTGTTTTTCGTAATTATTTAATCGAAAAATGTGTGCAAAATTAGTATATGTTATTTTTTGTCAATTTTGCAAAGCTCACTTCGAATAGAATTGTCAGCATGCAGCTTTAAGTTATTTTTACAGTGACAAAACTCGGATAAAAACTTTATTTCTGAGCATAAAAGAAATTTTGCATTTTGGCTGAATGATCACATATCATAATTATTATTATTTTGCAGTTTGATGCTGGTTTTCCTACATTATGTAAGAAAGTATTTAGAAATAGAAGCTGGGTTTACAGTATTATGGCTTAAATAGTAGCTGCGAAAGAAAAAGGAACAAAATTGAAATAAGGATCTAAAATCATTTTTCAAAAAATTATTCAAAAATCGGCATTATTTTATATGACCATGATCATTTACAGCGACAATCAATATAACGATATATATATATATATATATATATATATATATATATATATATATATATATATATATATATATATATATATATATATATATATATATATATATATATATATGTATATATATATACATATATATATATATATATATATATATGTATATATATATATATATATCGTCTTCATACATTTGATATAATACATCCCATTCTCGGTACATCAATTTCTGCCTTTCCGTCTTTGAACAATGGAAAAAATTGGGCACAGTGCGGGACATATATTTTGGATTATAGTGTTTACAAAACGCGGATGATATTGTGTCCGTCATCGAAGAGAATGTTAAATTAGAACTATTGGCTTATATATCGTGAAGTACGTATTATAATTATAATAAAACAGCCTTTCGCCAGAGTTTTACAGCCAGGCCTCATTTCAAATTAGAGCGAGTCGCTTTCGCTGTTACAATTCTTAATATGTTGTATCTCTTATATTTGACGTTTTATGAAATTGTACATTGTAAACCTAATCAATGTATGTATAATATATATATATATATATATATATATATATATATATGTATATCCGAGAATATCTTAAGTTCGGAAAATTTCATATTATGAAAAACTAACTTTGGTATTAGTTTCTATAGCAGAAGCATTGAAAAAATGCCCCAAGAAATGTGTAACTGCTTTAAGTAGGATTCGCCTTGAGGATCACTATGATCAAGACAACTCGTTTCTAAATCACTCTGATGGTCGGTTTATAGTATTTATAACATAAATTGATATTTTGTGTTTAATTATCCTTTTAGTGTCCTTCTTCATAATACTATATCAAATGCCATCAAACACGGTAGCAGAGGGTCAATGGATCATTAGGATATAATATATAGGCTTTAAAACAAGATGCGATAGTTTTTTTTTTAATTTTTTAAATATAGATCACTGATGTTACTTATTGTATAAGTGATAAACCAACAAGAAATGTTTAATATATTTTTTTACCGATAAATGAAAATAGTTGTTGCTATCTGATGAGGTGTAAAGTTGTCAATGACGGTGCTTCCAATAAATTTTTGTGATTGAAAAAGAAAAAATGTCGTCGGTTGAATAAAATTACAAAAATATAGGTCGCATTAAACGGATGTATATATATATATATATATATATATATATATATATATTCTTAAATTCGGTTTCAGCGTTGATACATTAGTCATAAGCAGCCAATGCGTCGAAAAAATGTATTAAATAAAAAATTTGATTAGTAGTTTCGACATTTTAGAAGTGTGTCATGATTTAGCTAAATTGAAATAAAATGATTCATTTAATAAATATGGGTTACAACTGATAATATATAAAATAACTGAATATAAAGCATACAAGTTAGTAAACAAATTTTTAAAATATAATAATTAAATGAAGTCAAAATGATTGCCAAATCTGTTTGAAAAGGCTTTGAAATAATAAAAACAAATTGCCAAAGCATGTAAAACTTTTTCAAAGATTATTTTTATTTATTTCATATATTATTTGTTACTTTTTTATTCATTCAATGTTATATATTATTAAAGCTCAATGGTGACGCTTTTCTAGCGTCGAAATTAGAGGAAATAAATAGTTATATTAATATATTTATTTATTATTTTTCTTTGAAACATTAGCTGCTTAAATATGACTTATAGAAAAGCTGCGAGCTTTCTGTAATCGTTTCTTTTAAGTTAATGCATTTCGAGATTCACTGATATATTTTTATGAAATAAAGCTACTTAGATGTTACCAAAACAAGTAAAAATAATTCCAAAACTATTGTTTATATTTTCAAAATTTATAGTTTCTAGAAAAAGTGCAGTGCTACAACTTACCCCTGTGTTTGGTGCTAATTTTCACAACTAACGGGGGAAGTAGTAACGACAAAAAATGACAGTAATGTCTCTGATAATTTATTCTTTACTTAGTTTTAAGAAAATTGACTAGTTTTTAAGTTATTCTTTTCATACATCAACGCAAACGTGAATTAATAAAAATTGTTAACGCCTAAGGCTCAAGTTCTAAATAATTCAAATATATTTTATTACCTTTCTAACAGAATAAAAATGATATAATTAATCCTTCATTGTAATGTATCCTGTCCCTTGCAGACCCTCAAATATTAATCCTTCCTTCCAAGAAACTATTCTTCCTTGAACTCGATTTAAACAGATCGCAGGCCAACAACTGATTGAACAAAAATATAATGGAATGTTGCTTAATTCCACAAAACGGACCAATCAAGAAAATAATATGAAAATATAGAAATCTCCGTAAATCAGTAATATCTCAAAGTTCATCTAAGTAACAAATTTAAAATCAACTGGCAACAATTAATAATTCAACTTTATTATTTTATTTAAATGTATGTACAATAATTAAAAACTATTTCTATCTATCTTTTTTTAATATATTGGTCTGATTCAGCCAATGAGTATATTTGGTCCTTCAGCCAACAATCGACAAAAGATGTACATTTTCAATAGTGTTCGGCAGCATCTCGATGGATCATGAACTTCTATACATTCTTTTTAATCTATCTTGTGTACATACCACAAATAAAATACATAATGTCTTCAAGAATTTTTGACAAAAAATGAATTTGTGAGTTATTTTTCCGCCGAAGTGAACTTCCAAAAGCCAATAGTATAACTTCGAATACAATATTATTTGTTTTCAAATAATATTTTTAAAAAAAAAAAAAAAGACAACACTTTTAGTAATTTTGATTTACAAAAGTTAACTATTCGGCGGAAAAATAACTCACAAATTCATTTTTTGTCAAAAATTCTTGTTTAGTGAAAAAGTGCTAACGTATATTCAAACATACAGGTAATTAACTCAATTTTACCATTAATCCTTTCTTAAAAAATTTTTCCATAACTTTCAAAAAATTTCTATCATTTTTAATATCCTGTTCTGATAATCCACTCATTTATTTTTATCATTTTCATTTTGATCATATTATCATATTTCTGTACATTATTATTTGTTACAATTAATTTATTATTTAAGAAAAATCTATTTTCTATTCTTAAACATATTGTTTGCTTAAATCTTATCAAGATCATGTTTCTTGACAGATGTCCTGAAGATGGAACGTACCTAGTTCCGAAACGTTGACAGTAAACAAATAATTAAATAAAGAAATTGTTTATTAAAAACTTTTCTTGTTTTTTTATTTTGTATTATTTTTGGATTCTTGTTCGAAACTCTACAAAATATACACAAATCCAAGACTCTACCATTCAATATATATATATATATATATATATATATATATACCGAAACCGAATTTTCATAATAGTGCAATTTTATATTGCATGTCAAAAATGACGCAGTTGCACAGTTCTGTACATTGTATTGTCCTGAGGAGACAGTAGCTATAAGAACATGATGCGGTGGGGTTGCTCTACATATACCGTTGAAGACAAAGAAATATTTTTATATCGTTTAAACGCCTGTTACTACTTATCCCTGCTACAAAAAGCCCCTAGCATCCCTATATATATTCAAAATGTGGGTGTGGGTGTGATGATATTTTTAGTTTTCAGTTATTCAAATAAATCAAACAATTTTTTGCAATATTTTAATAGTGTATTAATAGTTCATAATTGATACAGGTCACTAGTATTATTCGATTTAATATATATATATATATATATATATATGATATTCAGTTTTCAGGGCAATACATCAATTAAAAAAATTTGTATGACTTTAAAACAATTTTATTTTTTCCATACGTTTCGACACATTGTTTTGTGTCATCTTCAGTGGACTATGTAATTGAATTAATCCTAATTATTGCATATTATAAATGTTCACAATGCACAATCCTAATTATATCATATTATAAATGTTCACAATGCAACAACAAACAATCCATGTCATTTTAAATTGAACAATATATAAATTTTTGAATGAGATTTTTTATGAATTTGTAAAGTAAAATCACGCCGTACATTTCTGTGCTCCGATGTAAGGCCGACGACTGAATCAATTTTTTTAATTGATGTATTGCCCTGAAAACTGAATATCACATATTTCAACATCAAAATTATATAAAAAATTTAATATATATATATATATATATACAAATAAATTTATAAATAAATAAATACTTAAATCATAATTTTACATAGAGATGATATAACATATTTAATAAATAATGAGGTTGTGCTAGTTGTTGATAAAAACGAACAAGGATCTTCATAAAACTATTAAATATTCATGGCACTATCGGTAATATTAAAGTGGTCATTTGGCTTGCTAATTATCTAAATTAAATTAAATGCGAATTGGGTTCATTAGACTATCGTTTGGTATGCTCCTTGACCGAGATCAGTTCCGGATCGGCTCCAGTCGGCCAGGTGAGGTTCAGGGGCTGAGATGTATGTAACATGTCCGGAGTGTGCTTTGGCAGCAAGTAGATCTTTAAAGGCAGTGGCACCTGTGTGATGGGAAAGAAATTATAAGCAACACACCTGGATGCAATGAGAAACGAATAAACGTGAGAGTTGGTCGCCTTTTGTACAGATGGCGGTGTCTTTCCTTTATAAATACATCTTTAATATATATATATATATATATAATATATATATATATATATATATAATATATATATATATATATATATATATATATATATATAAATTAGGGTGGTCCTTAATATGGACATTTTCGAATTTCCTTGCTCCCAAGGGCTCAAATAGTTTCAAATTCGTAAAAAACAATTTTCTGAAAGTTTTAGCTCTTAATATTAACTTTTAGATAGTGCGTAATTCAATCAAACTTCGTATATGCATGGAATAAATAGCATGGAAAAAAATTTGAAAATTAAAAAAAAAATTTTAGGTATAACTTAGAGACAAATGAATTAAAAGTGAAAATTCGTGTCATTTTTCATTGAAAATTCGACGCCCTGCAAAATTTTTGAAAATTTTTTCATGCTAATTCCATACAAAACTTTGATTGTATTGCGCTCTATCTAAAAGAAATTATTAAGAGCTAAAACTTTCAGAGAATTGTTTTTTATCAATTTGGAACCATTTGAGCCCTTGGGAGCAAGGAAATTCGAAAATGTCCATATTAAGGACCACCCTAATATATATAAATATATATCATTTGTTTGATCTACACGGAAATTAATTCTTAAAAGTAATTGCGATAACAAATCAAATTTAGGCACGTGGCATCATGCAGCAGTTACAGAGTAATTATTACAAATATAGTTTAAATTCTATGCGAATAAAATTTGATATAAAATATTGTACTGTAACTTTACTGTATAATATTTTACATCAAACTTTATTAATATTAATTATTATACTACGCGACAGTTGAATTCAATTATTACTCTAAAATAAACCAGGTGAATACGTATAATTTTTACTAAGATAGTCAAATTTTTGTACTTTTTTCTGAAGAATTTCTTTATCATTTATGTGTTTCTAAGAGATTCTTGGATATAATGTATAAATTTTATACTAAATTGCATTTTGTTTTTTCTGGCATGTTGGTGTTTGAATTATTTATTTAATAATAACTGAATGGTGGCACATACTTAGTATTCAAAACATGCACTATATTTTTTTTTAATTTATATTGGCTTTTAATTGTATGTGTATACTTCAAAGATCATATTTTTCTCTGTATAGGGTAGGGCGGGGCACAAAGATCCAATTTAATTTTAAGCAAATAATTAATTATACTGTCTAACCCAATTAAACTGCATTGCAATACATTACACGTATCAAACAAGCAACTATCGAACTATGTTCAGTAAAATTCTCAGTTAATTTCTAATTACAGAAAAGTGATTTCTTGTACTATTTTTCAAAAATTTGTCATGTGTTCCTTTTTACCCCATAGGCGATGTAATATGAAACATCCAGGAAGCAAACAGATCCAATGTCTTATTGTTAATTTTAAAGAGATTTTACATAATATTAGCTACATTATTCAACCAAGACAAAATATAAATTTTAAGGGTACATTTTTTACGAAGATCTGGTATTTCGACAAAAATATTCATCAGCATAGTTGGAATAACTATTTACTTCATTTTCAAAATTGCTTTTTTGAACTTAATTTACTTTATTAGATTTTTTTATTGTTTACATCTTTGCCACCTTGCTACCCCACCTACGTGTGAGCTTTTATAAAGATTATATATATACAAAAAAAACTGTTGATTCTAACTTGAAAAAAAAAACACATTTATAAAACTAATGAATAACGTATACTTAAGAATTACATTAAGGTCTCGTAAACTAAACAACAGTGCTCACAACCAAAAAACTAACGACGAAAGAAAATACTTCGGTTTTGAATTTTTAAATATAGTCATCTATCTTCTGATAGCGAAGCCGTATATACAAGATGAAGGCTTTACTTATTTTTGAGTTATCTCTGACGGACCTTTTTACCAGCGGTCCTTTAAGCCTCGTTCTACACCACCCTACCCTATACCATATATATATATATATATATATATATATATATATATATATATATATGTCCTATAAACTTGTTTAAATTTAAGTATAAAGATATGAATTATAATAGTTAGTGATCTTATTTTTCAAAGAAATTTTACAAATATTTTAGTATCAGTTTCTAAAATCTACTGGATGAAAATGAAAATTCATCTGTATTGAACTAAAATTGATTAATTAAATAATTTTTTTTTGTAGAAAACGGAACGGTGCTTTTATATATGATCATAACAATTGATATGACTCTGCTTCAATCTCAAAACTTCTAGGAATTTAAATTACTGCAAATCTAGTGAGATCGTCTTCAACTATTTATTACCTAAATTAATTCATACGTGCTTGGAATGGGTTTGACTAGTTCCTATTGTGCTAATTTTTATTCACAAGGTACATTTGGTATACATTTTTAGAGTTCTTGGCAGAATTATCTAAAATTTTTACTGTTAGAAATATTATGAAAAAAATCTAATATATAGTTCTGAATATCGTAGAAAATAACGTTCTGCAGTCTGTTCATGAAACATTGAGTATTAACAGGCAGTTGTCTTTTTCTTCGGTCAAGATCAATTTTATAAAAAATAATCCTAAGTTATTTATTGAAAAAGCAAATTAAAGATTAGGCATATTCTATGTGTAGTTCATTTAGTACTATTTAAGTTCTTTCGATTTTAATTAAACTACTTTTGCGAGTACGAATGCTCGATGTCCTTGTAAATATATTTGTATATTTAAAATTTTATACCATTAATTAATTTTAGATTTTGATTTAGCATTTGATTGCTCCAGAAATCAGGACTTAATTAAGAAACTTTTTTTTGAGTCGTTGATTACCAACCTGGCCTAATAAATTATTTTCAGATCTAAAACACATATGAATTTTGAACTGAAAGTTATTTACAAAAATACAAAAGTTTAAGACACAATAGTACTTTGATTCATAAATTAACAATAATATTTTAGAATTTAACCAGGTTTATACCTGCTATTTTAAAAATTAAAAATGCATTTTTACTTAATTTTTACCAATACTATTTCGTGCTTTTTTGTGAAAGAATTTGTTCGAAATGTTTTAATTATTCCAAGATATAAATTTGAACCGAATCATATAATATCAAACCTGCGAAGAGCAGAGCTAAAACTCCAGCACCGAGTCCTTTAAGAGAGATCAAAGCAATTGCGGTAAGGACGATTGGCAAAATGACGGCAGTCTTCAGTTTCAATCCCAAGAGCAGGGGCAAAACGATTTTCTTCAATTTACTGGATCGGCTTTCTGAAAAGTAATAATATTTTTAATAAAAAAAGCTTGCTAAAAACGAAAAATAATAAAATTTTCAACAAAACCGTGGAATAAAATAATTTTAAATTTTCAACAAAACCGTGCGTATCTCATATAGAGAACGAAGTGAGTAATTACTCTTTGTAATATTTTCATAAATAGAACTTTTCTGGAGAATATATTTTGGAAAAAAAATAGTGAACGATAAATAGAAGCTTTTTAGAAAGTTGCTAGATTGATGAAGAAGAACATTATAAAACATTATAAAAGAACATAGTTAAATTTAAATTTAGGATAATTTATTTAGGATAATCTACAGTACGAAATGATCACCCGTTTATATATTGTAGCGTGTGGTATAACAATGCGAAATATATTAATGACATGTATAAAATAATACTATTATATAGATGTTTTGTACGATCTCTTATACCATTTGTCTGAAATATATAAAATTTATATTTTCAATAATAAAAACATGCCAAAAATATTATATTTTTCTTTTTAGAATTTTTGTTGTCTATGGGATTTACCTAATTCAGTTTAATTTTAATATGGCTAAAATATGAACTAAAAATCGAAGATTATTAAATTGTAAACGTTTTAATATCTTTGTTATTCAGTTTATTTATTTTCTATTATTTTATTGCAATGTTATTATTATAAAGCATATTTTATCGTGGGAGGGATGAGCAGCTGCCCCTAGGTTAGAATCATTAAAACATAATCGACTTCTCAATTGATTGATTAGTTCAATTTCAATTGAGCATAATGAGATAATGATTATATGAAATGATATGTGAGACAGTAATTGTGATAAAATTGTAGTGATCGATATACATTAATGTCAAATCAAACTATCCAATTTCAGTCAAATGCCTATATATAATTATCATTCGACTTTTGGATACGAATTGTTAAAGTTACAGATGTATGTTAAGATGTTAATATGGTATGTGTCATGATGGAAATCGTAACTAATGTACGTTTTGGCAATGGAAAAATGTAGATACGCTTTGTCATATAACATCTACATTCATCAAATCCATACTACTCATCGTACAACGAATTCGTAGTAACGACTTATAAAAGATGTTCGGTTTATATATTGATATCAACTCTCTCCCCAGTCGTCGACGATCTCTGCGTGAGTGTGTGTGAGAAAAATTTCTCTTGTAGGAATAAAAAAAGATGAAATAAAACTAAAAGCGTGTTAGGATTCGAAAGTGGCACGACGATATTAAGGTCACGGTACTCGGCCGCGGTGCCGCTCCCACTTCTCGGGAGAAAATTATCCACGTGAATGAGAATGGGTTATTGAACCAAGTTGATTTAGGTCAAGTTTAGAGAACACGGCTGTTGGTCACGGACGTACATTGACCAATCGCGGTTCCGCGCTTCAGGTGGGGACTTTCGAAAGTAAACACGACTTCTCACGCTTCCTGCCGCGAGATTGGAAAGCTGGAGCGGAGTGGCGGGCGAGTGGGAATGCGAACTATCCGGACAGGTGCGTTTGCCGAGAGAGGGATACGAGAAAATTTCGAGAAGCTTCCCACTAGGAATTTGAATTTTTAGTACTTGGAAGTAATAAACAGTAGAAGGATTGTGATGGTCTTTTAAAATATAATTTTTTAATTTTAAATTATTTTTGCATATATTTATTTTAGATTCTTTAAAATTTTTATTAATTTATATAATTTATATATAGAGTAGAGCGGGGCTTGAAGGTCCGCTTGTAAAAAGGTCCACCACAAATATGTCAACAACAAGTAAAGTTAAAAATTTATTAACAGCAATATTTGAAAGTAGAGGGAAAAAGATGCGTAATCAGCTATTGCCTTAACTCAAGCAACGTCGCTGTCTTAAGATAAATGCCAATGTTTGAAAGGCAGTTTGTTATTTAAATGGTAAATAAAAAATTAAAAAAATGTTTGAAAATCCATAACAAAAGTATTTTCTTACGTTGTTAGTTTTTTTGGTTGTGAGCGCTGTTGTTCAGTTTACGAGGCCTTAATATAATTTTAGGTATACGTTACTGTATCGATTCCAAAGATGTATAGTTGTTATTAAGTTATATTCAACATATTATATAAGCTTTATAAAAGTTTGCTTGTGCGTGGAGTTAAAAGAACCAACTAAACCTTTATACTAGCAACGATGTAAAGAATAAGGAAATAGTAAATACAAACGAAAATTCAGTTAAAAGTCAATTTATCAATTGATAAATCAAATTAATAGTTATTCCAATTCTACTGATGAATAAACTGTATATAACCTAGATCTGGTATTTCTGACAAAATACCAGATCTAGGTTATATACAGATTTTTTTGTGAAAAATACGCCCAATAAAATTTGTATTTTGTATTGGTTAAATAATGTCGCTATTATTTCGTAATATGTCTTTAATATTTAAAATAAATCATTGGAACTATTTGCCCTCTGGCTGTCTGACATATTTTTGTAGAGTTTGAATTGGTTATGGATTTAAAACAAGAACAATTGTTAATGATTTTATAATAGTCTTCCAATAGTAATGAAGAAATAGATTCGTAATAAAGTATATCATATTTAGATTTAACAATCGATGGCTCAAATTCATGAAAGTTCTATTGTATATAAATTAATTAAAAACGTTTATAACTATAATTTACTTTTTAATTTATATACAATAGAACTCTTATGAAAGTCCAAATTTTGAAGTTAAATTGTCTTTATTAGAAGATATCGTGCATTTTGAATTTTAAATACGCATTATTATTAGTAAATCAGAGTAGTTTAATAATGATTTTTTTTTCAAATGTAATTCACTACCCGATCACATTAATAAGTACAGATATAATTTAATGAATATACCATAGGAATAAACTATAAATAAAATTTAAAAAATTGGATTTGCGTTAACCCAGTTATAGGAGAACTTATATTTATTTATTTTGACACCTACTTCTAAAATATTTATATTTTATTCGACTTGTATTTTAAGCAAGTAAACTACAATAAAATAAAGTTTAAAATTACTTTTTTTTCAAATGAAAATAAATATATTAGGATGTAATATAATAATTATATTACATTACATTGTAACACATTTTCAAGTTTAACAAAGCTTTTGAAGAATATGTGCTTTATAATTATGTTGAAATATTATACTAACTATTTTATAATTCATGAAACTTCATGAAAAGTTTTTGATCCAAGTGAATAATTTACTGTTTATTTATTAAAATTTTTTTAAATCTTAAATTTTAATGTAATCATCAATCAGTTGTAATGACGTTCTGAGTTCAATATCTTCAATTTATGCGGAATAAATATTTAGTATTTCACGAGTTAATGTTTGTTATAATATATCAGTAAATACAAACTAAGTTTTACAATAGATAATTTTTAAAATTCATTTCGGAATTTGGATTATTAAAATGTGCAGTTGAAAACTTATCCTTTTAAGTTTTTGTTGTGATCTTTAAAATTAATAGTTTTTTATCTTTGAAAAAATTTAAGATGAGTGTATGCAATGTTCATTTTATATATGTATATATATATATATATATATATATATATATATGAATATATATATATATATATATATATATAATATAGTACCATATTTTTCATTGCAATAAGTTAACGTAATTTCATAATCCAGACAAATATTTTTTAAGTGTATGGGTGATGACATTTTATATTAAATGAATATTTTTCAGAAAATTATATTAGATAATTATAGGAAAATATGCTATTTATTAAATCAATTCTAGATCATGGATATTACTTATTTTCATTAGTAGAATTTTTTCAAAATAATTTAATGTACTAAATTTTGCACATTTTAGTACTGACGAGTTTTTATTTTTGTGACGTTTACATCTTAATTTTATACATATATATCTTAAACTGGGATATATCTCCAATAATATTCAATCTGGATTTGGTAAGCTCATTTATATTTATTACCCATAACGAGACAGTATTATTGCAAATATTTACGTAACTAGAGAACACTTAGCGCAGTGATTTCCAACCTGTGGGGCGCGCCCCCCTGGGGGGGCGCCATACCGTTCCAAGGGGGGCGCGAAGCTGTTTCAAAAATATTATTTTTAAATGCTGAGTAAGTGTCAAAAATAAATCAACAAATTACTTAAAGAACTTCTAAGTGTGTTTGAGCTCAAAAAATAAATTGCTATATTTCTTGCTGATAACAAAAGAGACGGAGCAATCTTGTTTTAGGACACAAAGTTCCTCGCAAAATTTGAGTATTTAGTTGATATTTTTCAAAGACTTAGCGATTTAAATAAATCAATGCAAGGATCTCAAATTCGTGTTTTTGTTCAGAAAGACAAGAAAACGGTTTTTATGAAAAAATTAGAACTGTGTATAGCTAGTATCAAATAACTTTATAACTTTAACATGTTTCCCACTTTTAAAATTACTTGTGTGACTGATGAAATAGAAGTAAGTAAAGATCTTATTATTATATCAGTCATATGACTAGTCTACGAAACCAATTTTCGCATTACTCCATCTAATTACGTCCAAATACGAATGGATTAGAAATCCATTTGTCATTGAGAAACATGATGATTTTGGTCATTCAAAAGCAGAGCAGAAAATGATAATTGGTTTATCTAGTAATAGCACATTGAAGCAGATGTTTCAGGACAAAAATATATTGTTAAGTTTTGGTTACCAGTAAAGGACGAATTTGCTACTTTGACAAATAATGCTTTAGAAATTTTATTACCATTTGTGAGATCTTACTTATGTGAAACAGAAAATTCTTATAATAAATAGTTATGTTTGTATGTATATTTTTTTACAATACTGTATATTATATGGCATAATTGCAGTTATGTTAAGTATATTAAAATTAAATTGTTAGAAAAATAAGAAGGGGGGGGGCGCAATATTTTTTTCATTCGAAAGGGGGGCGCAAGGAAGAAAAGGTTGGAAACCGCTGACTTAGCGCGATGAAAATTAAAATTACAGTTTTGCA